TTGTATTTTGACCCCTTTTCTCCCAAGCTCTGATCCTCCATTGCCATTTCGTTTTTACTTATTATTCCTTTTGAAGGTTTTTGGTAGTATTTTATCAGATTGACTAAAATTCAGCTTCTTACCCTATCCACTCCTTATTTGGTTATTTCTGCCATCCTATTCGTGGTTCCCTGGGCTCAAAATTTTAGTCAGGTTTTATTTGTGCTTCTTTTCTTTCTGTTCTTCTCTAAACTATAGAGTTATTAAATTCTATTCTTTCATGATGCTATCTCTAGACACTGCTTTTGCATTACTGTTTCTATTGCTTATGAAACCTTATTAACTGCCTTCAGTCTTTCCCTGTTTTAGCTGATCCCGTATACCCCTGTACTCTAATATATTTCTTTTATCCAACGGCATAGATATGAATAATAATAATAAAATAATCCTTTTTTATGCCTTCTATGTTGTATATTCTATGTGCTAGAAACGGCACCATTTATGATTATTATGCCTATTTTAAGATAAGTAACTTGAAACTCAGGAGAAGTTTAACCAAATTTTTAAGTCCACACAGCTAGTAAATGCCAGAACACATAATTGTAGAGGTCGGCTGATTCCAAAGTTTATGCTCTGAACACATACAGAGATCATAAAATTTGTCATCTAACTGGGACATATTTCATAACAAAAGAGGTTGCTACTAATAATTTTTCTGGGACAATAGATGTAAAATGAGACCATCCCAAACAAACCAGGAGTTGGCCAAATATCTCTTTTGGGAACAAAACAAATATATGTTAATCTTTGTACTTATTGAGCTCAGGGTAACAACTGGGCATAATACTGGAATACTTTAGGAGAGAAGTCATATAAGCAGGACAGGAGATATGAGAAATTTAGGAACTAAATAATAAAGAGAATGTTTTTAAAGTCATGAGATGAGATCACCAAACATTTAAGTAGGAAGAGGCACAGATAATTGAGAACTGATCACTGGATATTTTGAAACATAAGCTAGGTTAAGAGTATAAACAGACAATGTAAAATGCCTCTGTTAGACTGAAAATCTTTGAGAAAATTAATCATTTCTTTTGAATGCCTTTTCTTATTGCATTTTAATATTCCAAATACATATATTAAAAGTCAATATAACATTAAGTATAATGCAGACTACGTGACTTCTAATAGATGAATTTAATTTTGTGCCCATACTTAGAGCCTGACTGAAGTCATTTCAAATGAAAACACTTCAGCTGCCATCTTTTCTCTGTGGATAGACTTTCTGACTCTTTTTGTGGCAATTGTGGTTTGTTCTTGTATTTCTCTTGTTTGGAGTGAAAGCTACTGCCTTCACCACCACCCATGTACTGTTTGGTAATCTACCAGACATTTGAGAGTTAATGCATGTGCCATATGTACAAAGACACTTTATGCACATACATTTACCACATGAATATGTTATAAATCATGTCTAACATATATTTTAATAATATTATCAATAAATAGAACAAGGAATCCATTATACAAAGATTCAAATTTTGGGAAAAGGGACAGTTCTGCATCCAAAGTGAAATAAACAAGAATATTTATTTCTATGCTTTTCTCTGCTTATACTGGAGTGAGTCAACAGTAAAAATGATTTAGAGAAACCCTGGTTCATTTGAAATAAAACTCTGATGCATTTGAAATGAAGTTTCCATGGAAACCATCTCTGAAGTGACAAAAACCTCAGAAGAACTTTTCCTGGTGTTGCATCATGTATACAAAAACCTGCTAAAGCTCCTAGAGGAAAGTGAACATTTATCGATTCCATAAGGCTCTTTTTGCCCTTGGGTCTCAAGAAGAACGTGCCTTGTGGGGCTTATTTTAATTTTTTTATAAATTATTGCTTTTCTCTATTTCTTAAGTGTGTGTAATGAGAGCGAGAACAAGGATTGGGATTCATTAGAATTACTCAGGGATGTGGACAGTTCTAAGTGTAAATTGACTAATGAGATGCCATCATTTGCTGAGACTGAGCTGAAGGTGAGCAAGCCCTCACTGATGTATGTGCATATTCTCATCCAGGCACAAGCATGTGTGCAGTGGTTTTAGTTGCTCTTGCCAGGAAGGAGATGGACTTCTGCCTTTGTGTTATGATTATATAACTTTTCCAAGAGAACTCTAGCTCTTAACTCTGACCAAAAACATATATAACCCATCTGCTAATTGAGGCTTAATTGTCCCCAATAAAGATTTTTATTTCTTGGCTATGAAATCTCTCATACTTAACATGTAAAAGTCTGTGGTAAGGAGTATACAATGCAAGTTGCACACAAAACTTTATTAGCCTTTATATCAGTCCCAGGCAATAATCTACATTGCATGACTTGTGATAATCTAAATCTTCAGCAAGGTCTCTTGCTCTACTATCTTCTTAATATGTCCAGATTTTTTTCCCTTAGAGCCAATACTTTGGCTCAAGGTATTATATTTAAAGTGCTGGACAAAAATGTGATACCTTGAAAGGGTATTGTAATAAGCCATGAATGCCCAATGTCAATGTTTTAGTAGAGTAACTGGTCTTATCAAGCAAATACTTTTCAAGTCTCTTTTGCATTATTACTCAGATGTCAGATTACTCTGTTTAAAGTTGAAATCTGTACCCCTGCCTTTTCTACACGTCTCCCTTGCTTTCCTTTTCTTTATAGCACTTTTCATGTTACTTGTTTTACTCCTTTTCTTTGATGACTTTCCTGTCTTCCCTCACTTGAATGAAAACATGAGAGCGAGAATTTGCTTTTTTCCCCACTGATGTATTAGAAGAGTTTTGGGACATAGTAGATGTTCAATATGTATTTGCTGAAGGAATGTTATTCTTTTTTTTTTTTTGAGTTGGAGTCTCACTCTGTCGCCCAGACTGGAGTGCAGTGGCCACTCCCGGCCACCGCAGCCTCAACCCGCTGGGCTCCGGCGATCCTTCCGCCTCAGCCTTCCAAGTAGCTGGAACTACAGGCGTGCGCTACCATGCTCAGCTGATTTTTTGATTTATTGTAGAGATGAGGTCTCGCCAAGTTGCCCAGGTGGGTCTCGAACCTGCGGGCTCAGGCAATCCACTCACCTCAGCCTCCCAAAGGCGCGGGATTACGGGCTGAGCCACTGAGGCTGGCAGGAATGTTATTCTTGTTCATACCTTTCTTCAACTTTCCTATTATCTGACATATTGACTGTAATGTTCATTCACTGGTCTTTGCATCTTGACCAACGTTACATTATTTATCTAACAACTATTTGTTTTTAATCATCAGGCTTAAACTTCATGACCAGCTGGTGGAGGAAAATCAGATATTACTTTATTTTTGAGCTTGGAAATGTTCAAATAATTCTTGGTATATATTGGATGTGAGTGAAATAATGAATCTACTCCTCTGAGGTCCCTACTTTGAACTTTTCTGGCTCTAACACTTTCTACCCTTTCCCTTAGTCCATTTGTATTATAAAGGAATACCTGAGACTGGGTGATTTGTGAAGAAAAGAGGTTTATTTGACTCATGGTTCTGCAGGTTGTACAAGAAGCATGGTGCTGGCATTTGCTTCTGGTGAAGGCCTTAAGCTGATGGGGAAAGAAAACTAGCATGTAGTTGTCACATAGCAAGAAAGAAAGTGAGAGAGATGATAGAGGTTCCAGGTCCTTTTAAACAACAGCTCTTGTGGGAACTAACAGAGAGAAAACTTATTCTTTACCATGAGGTTGTCATTAAGTCATTTATGAGGGATCCCCCCCATAACCCAAACAACTTCCAATAAGCCCCATCTCCAAAATCGGGGATCAAATTTCAACATGGAATTTGAAGGGTTAAATATCCAAACTATAGCAATTGCCCTTTAAAATTACTTATTTTTATCTAACAAAAATCTCATGAGAGCCTTCCTTGTAAGTAAAAATGGTGCTTTAGGGAATTTATTATCACTCACAGAGTGGTGGTATATCCAGTGATTAAAACCATGCAATTTGGAGTTGGACAGAGCAGGGTTTGACTCAAGATTTTGGAATTTTTTAGCTGAGTGTTCTTCTGACATTTAAAATGGAAATTAACAGGTTTAGTTTATGAGGTTCTTGTGAGTAATAAATGAGGTAAAATAATTTGTATATTGCTGTTGGATCCTTGGTGTCCATATGAGGGTGCTGGGTCAGATACAGTGTTCGGTACACAGTAAGTGCTCAATACAAAGAAGGAAGAATTATTTTCCCCCACAACACTTTACTCTTAATTGTGCTTAGAAAGATGTAACTTGAGTGAAATAAGTTATCAAAAGCCACATGAAGCATTATCATGCGGGTAAACAAACATTCCATTTTCCTTAGGGAAAGTGGTCTCTGGCACTGGCCCTGAGGGAGCCTCTGTAACTAGCTCACTGGGGTCTCTAAGCCAGAATAAAACTCTTAGTTTCCCATTAGGGTATTAGGAAAGAATGCTGTCTCATCCCTGGAAGCTGGACAGGAGCCTTGGGGCAAAGCCACAATCAGAGATTGTGTTCTTCGGTCAACTAGAGAACCAAGATAAACTAGAGGTTTAGATTCCCAGTGTGGAGAAGCAGAAGCAGAGAATTCTGGGCTCCAAGTTGTCAGCTTCTTTTCAGCAGGGCCGTTTGTGGCTCCATGAAAAAGATAGATGAGGGTCAGTAGAGAACAATACCGTGGCTTCAAACTGAAGGTGGGTAAGTGCCTGTCAAACCTGTTGGGGGCTGCAACAGAGTGGTTAAAAGCTTAGACCAGGGGAGCCAGACTGCCCACGTTCACCTGGTGCTGCAACTCAGTAGCATTGAGACTTTGTGCAAGTGACTTGGGGCCAGTGTCCTCATCTGTGGAATGGGAATAGTTGTAATGCCACACTGCATTTAGAGTAGTGCCTGTCCCGCAGTTATTGCTCAATAAATGTTTCTTTTCTTCTCCCTCCCACCTCCTTAACTTTCATTAACTTCCATGGGATATAGCCTTTTTCTCTCTTTCTCAGTGACTTTTTTTTCTTCCTTCACAGACTCTCATAGAGCAGAATGACTGCAGAAAACTCCTCTGTGACAGAGTTTATCCTCGCAGGCCTAACAGACAGTCCGGGACTCCAGATCCCCCTCTTCTTTCTGTTTCTAAGTTTCTATGTGGCTACAGTGGTGGGGAACCTGGGATTGATAACCCTAATAGGGCTGAACTCTCATTTGCATATTCCCATGTACTTTTTTCTCTTCAACTTGTCCTTCATTGATTTTAGTTACTCTACTACTCTTACCCCTAAAATGCTGATGAGTTTTGTCTCAAAGAAGAACATTATTTCCTATGCAGGGTGTATGACTCAGTTTTTTTTCTTCTGTTTCTTTGTCTTTTCTGAATCGTATATTTTATCAGCAATGGCATATGACCGCTATGTGGCTATATGTAAACCACTGTTGTGCATGGTTACCATGTCTCCCCAGGTGTGTTTGCTCCTTTTGTCAGGTGTCTATGGCATGGGGATTTTTGGGGCTGTGACTCATATGGGAAACATAATGTTTATGACCTTTTGTGCAGACAACCTTGTCAATCACTATATGTGTGACATCATTCCCTTCCTTGAGCAGTCCTGCAACAACTCTTACATACATTTACTGGTGGTCTTTATTGTTGTGACCATTGGCATTGGGGTGCCCATTGTTACCATTTTTATCTCTTATGGTTTTATTCTTTCTAGCATTCTCCACATTAGCTCCACAGAGGGCAGAGCCAAAGCCTTCAGTACTTGCAGTTCCCATATAATTGTGGTATGTCTTTTCTTTGGGTCAGGTGCTTTTATGTACCTCAAACCACCTTCCATTTTACCCTTGGACCAGGGGAAAGTGTCTTCTGTTTTTTATACTGCTGTGGTGCCCATGCTCTACCCATTAATCTATAGCCTGAGGAACAAGGATGTCAAAGTTGCCCTGAAAAAAACCTTAAGCAGAAAATTGTTCTCTTGAAAATGATTGAGAAAGAGAACCAAAACCTTTTAAAAACAGGGTGTTTATTTTTTCAGTAAGGGGGACAAATTTCAGTGCTTTCTTCCTTAGAGAAAAATTTTAATGCTTCCTCTTAAGAGTACTTATTCTCTCTACTGCTTACTTGCCCCAACTATTCCAATCATTATTTTATGAAAATAGTTTCTATGGTTAAAGGGGGTTGAATAGGCCTACAAAAATTATTTAATACAGGCTCCTTTTAACACACATCACACTCTGAAGACTCATAAATATTTTTTAGGCTGTCCATTGACACGCATGTACCTAGTGCCAGAGTGAAGACTGAAATCCAGGTCTGGGAGTTTTATTTACTCTCTTCTGCTTTTCTTTAGCCATGCATGCTCTTGTTCCATCATTTTCCTGGCAGATTTCATTTTTGCAATTGTGTTGAAAGTGAAAAATTTGGTTGATGTAGTCTTGACAAAAAGATAAGATAAATTTTTTAAGCATGTTAGGGTGTGGGAGTGGGAACTATGTTAGTTTTCTTATAAAACAAGCATGGTGCCTGTTGAGATGGTGTACAAAGCCCTAAGAAGCAAGGCTAAAATTAAACCTTCTAAATAAGAGATGTACGGATTTAAGGGAGTTAAAGATGTTGAATGCAAGCTTCAGTCTTTATTTCTAGACTAATGAAGATGAAATCTGGAGCCTTACTTCTTGGGAGTGACTGATGTACATTAATAATAGATCACCTTGGATGTAAGTGAGCTACTATAGTCATTACATTTTAAGCCGCTGCATATATCTGTGATCTTCTCATAGCAGGGTATAAAGGAAATGCATGGTGGCCTCAGGAGAGGTAATAACTTCACAGCATTGGGTAAATGGAGGTACTGTTTTATAGAAAGAATCAGAGCAACTTTTTTTTTGACTTGAACGCATTTTTAATGTCAAAGGTTCTTTTGTAAACAATAGCATGTGAACTGTCTGAAAGAGATTTTAACTTATGAACTTTTTTTTGAGTTAAAGGAACTTTCTGTTACATAAAAAAGTTTGAATCAGTGTTTAGTTTTTTTTTTTATTGTAACATTTCCGTTCAGTCAGAATGTAACATAGTAAAGAGGAAGATCACTGACTTCAGGGCACTTATAGATTGACGGTGTAGTTAGGGTGGTAGAGAATCAGTGCAACGAAAACAGCTTATCCTCTTTTTAATTGAAGTATAAGTTTATGAAACAAAGTGCACAAATATTAAACATTCAATGAATTTTTTTCAAATCTATAAGGCTACAGTTATATACCACCACCTAGACCAAGATACTGATTTTCACCATTTCAGGATATCCCTGCCTGCTCTTTCCCAGTAAATACTGCTCCCCACTTTCTACCTGGCAATGCCAACTATTCTTACTTTTATCATCAAAGATGCATTTTGCTCATTTTGAGCTTCATGTGAATATTAAATAGTGACTTTACTTTTTTATGTTTCACTCAATATAGAATGTCACATGAGATTGACCCATAACATTTTTTCTTTCCTTCCTTCCCTTTTTTTTTTTTTTTGAGTTGGGATCTTACTCTGTTGTCCAGACTGGAGCGCAGTAGCACGATCATGGATCACCTAGCCTTCACCTCATGGCCTCAGACGATTTTTCCTCCTCAGCCTTCCAAGTAGCTGGGTCTACAGGTGCATGCCACCATGTCTGGTTATTTTTTTTTCTTTTCACTTTTTTGTAGAGATAAGCTCTCACTGTGTTGCTCCTGGATTCAAGCAATGTTCCTCCCTTGGCCTCCCAAAGTGTTGGGATTACAGGCATGAGCACCTGACCAAACCTACAACACCATAATAGTCTTAGTTCTTGCTATTTAGTCTTCCATTGTATGGATATAGAGCAATTTATTTATCAAGTATCTTCTTAATGGACATTTGGCTTATTTTTAGTTTCTGAATATTACTAGTAAAACTGCTATGAATATTTTGGAATGCGTATTTTGTTTGAAATATACACTTATTTCTCTTGGGTATATACCTAGATGTGGATTTACTGGGTCAAAGGGTAGGCATATGTTTAGGCATCTAAATACCACCAAATTTTCTTACAAAACAGTTAATCTGATTTACACTACTTGAACAATTTCCAGAAAAGGATGATCCTCATCTGTAGGAACACTTGTTATTTTCAGGGGTAGTGCAATTTTGCTTTGGTCTTTTAAAATATATCCCTGCTTAATAATGATGGTGGCATTTCTTGTATGTTTACTATTTGGATATCACCATTGTGAAGTGCCTATTTAAATTTTTTGCCCTCTTAAAAATAATGTTGTTAGTCTTTTTCTCATTGATTTGAGTTTCTTTTAAAGTATATTCTGGATATGAGTCGTTTTTCTAGACATACACATTGCAGTTACCTTTGCTCGGTCTGTGTCCTGCCCATTCACCTGACTACTTTTAGTGATGTCCTTTGGGAACAGATGTTTTAATTTTCATGAAGTTCAGTTTATCTACTTCTTTTACTGTTAGTGCTTTATCCTGTTTAATCTTTTCCTACATAGTCACAAAGTGATTCTCAGGTTCTCCTTTGGAAACCTTATATTTTTTTCTTTAATAATTAGATTTTTTTATCAATTTAAATCAGTTATCATGGATAGTGTGAGGTAGTGAGTTTTTTTTAATAAAGATATTATTTCAGAATCATTCATGGAAAATATCATCTCTTCTCTGTAAATTGTACTGGCTGTATTTGTGTTGGTCTATTAGAAGACTGAGTGACAATATTTTTGTGATGCTAGGTGGAGAAAATTTGGTTTGGAGTGCTGTATTCTTCCAGGATAATGGTGAATAGAAGTGATGATAACAGACATTCTTATTTGGTTTTTAAGTGGGATTGCATTTATTCCTGGGAATTTGTTATATTTTATTCTATTTTAATAATTTTTAATTGCATATTAGTAGTATGTAGAAATACAGTTGATTTCTATATGTTTACTTTGTAGCCATCAATCTTGCTAGTTTAACTTTTTAATTCTAATTGTTATTAAAATTGACAGAAAAAGAAATAATTCTAATTTTTTTCTATTTCTGTATACATAGTTATGTCATCTGAAAATAAAGACAAGTTTGTTCTTTAATAATCGTTATCTTTATTTCTTTTATTTTCTTCATTGCACTGTCTAAAACCTCTCGTACAATGATGAGTAGATATAAGAATAATGCATATCCCTGTTTTGTTTCTGATCTTAGGGTAAAAGCATTCAGGCCTTCACTATTGAATACGATGTTTTCTGCAGATTTTTTTTCTTTTGTAGATGGCAATAATTAGATTATGGCAAGTGATCAACAACTTTCATTTAAATAGTAATTTTTAAAAACTGAGGATATGTATACAATGGTACAAAAAATAAGCACTACAAAAAAGCATACAGTAAAACTCAGCCTTCCTTTCACTTCAGTTCTCTCATGCTTATGTTCTTCTTCCTTGGTGCAACTATTTGCAGAAACTGTATAGGCATATACAAGTATATCTCTCTATATATTTATTTGTATCTATCTATCTATCTATCAATCTATCCATTCATCATCTATCTACCTATCTATCTAGAGACCCTTTATGTTTTAAAATTCTATAAAATGGCGTTTAAGAATGTGCCTTCCAATAAAAGTGGTTTAAGCAGGTTTTGACACAAGGCATTACTGGCAAGAAGAAAAGGAATCAAACACAGAAGAGGCATGGGTGATGAGATGAATAGAAAAGAAGAGAGAGGAAAATAATGGAGGCAACACAGCAAACCCATGGTCATTTCATTTCTGACAATGTTTTGGTTTCTCCTGATTTTCTGTTGCTGACCCATGGTTTAACTACTCATATCTTTACTTAACTATTTCCGTACTGGGGGAAGAGACTTGAGAGCTTAAAGTGCCAGAATAGTAAACATTTTCAAATCACAAATGTTCATATATTAACTTATTTATCGACTTACAAAAATAATGGTCGGTTTTAGCTCTAAGAGACAAAGAGCTTGGAAGTTATTCTTATCCTCACAACAAGTAAAAAAAGCTAAACAAACTGAAAATCCACCACTCTGTTTAGATCCATCAGATAACCGAGGCCATAAGACAAACTAACTGATCCCCTGAAAACTGGAGAGAGAGGTGTGAAGAGAATCACTGCATACTGGAGCAAAAGCTACTGAAGCTAGTATACATATCTATGAAGGAGAACTTAAGTGGTAGCTGAGTTGCTGGAAACTGAGTGTGAACCAGCCTGAAAGGTAAAATTTCCTGGGGGCTGAGTCTTAAGGGGGTCCCCACATTTTTGGGATTTTTACCTCTAGGATTTCCAATTTCAAATGGTAAAGATCAGAGAAAATTTTTCTGAAATACACTTAAAGATTTCTGTTTCTCTGCTTGACCTCCCAGAAAACTACTGTACTCATTCCAAACAATGTTGGAGGAGGCAAATCCCCAACTCCAGTCCCCTCCTATTTCCTCCAGTCTTCTTGTCTCACCTAAGGGGTAGAAAGAGTTGAGAACTCTTGGGAAAATCATAGCCCCAGATAATAGGCACACTAACAGGCTGAGGTCTTTTCATAGCAAAATATAATGTTTGTTGTCTTCCCCTATACTTTACCATCACATCAATACATTTCCTGTATACAAACAGAGGGTTAGAGCTGAAAGAAATGCAAGGCTCAGGCTCTACTTAAGACAGTTTCTAGAGAAACCCTAGAACAACAGGAGAGATAAAAATGATACCAGAGAAAAGTAAAGCCTCAGACACCTATGGCTATGGCAAATAGTAAACACAGCATAACTCTTAGCCAGATAAAAACTTCACATTAAAGCACACACCAAAATCTCATACTAAAGTTCTACTTACCTCAATTCCTCTTACCCAGTAGATTATGTATGGTTTTCAACAAAAAATAATGAAGGATAGCTGAAAGGCAAGATAAAACAAAGTCTGAAAAGATAAAACAAACAACCATACTTAGATACAGTGAGGATATTGAAATTTGTAGAC